AAAATGTCAAAAGAAAAAAAAATAGTTTTTATGAAAAGAAAGACAATCATGTTATAAGAAATTCATAATTATTTGCATTTGACAAAATTTTTTTGCCAGACTGAATAAGATATCACATGACTATTTACGTGCCTTGGCTATCTCACTCAAGATCAAAAATTTTAAAAATATTTTTACAAAGTATTAGATTACCGCTACTACTAATTGTGCGGCATAATGTAATGTCAAGTCACCTAAAGTTCAAGATCTCTGTTCGATGAAAACATAGCAAGCCAAACATATGTAGCTACACTTCAATCTCCTAAAAGGAACACATGCTGCTAATTGTAATACAACTCCTGTTAAAAGATTGGTATCATGAACCTTTCAGAAGGTTGGTATTTCGTCGTAGCGATCATGCCGGGCATCCCAAAAAACCTTCCGGAAGAGGTTCATCATACCAGCCTTTTAACCATTTGTTTTCATCCACCTGCTAGTCAAGTAGTCAGTGAGAAGCATACAAATTGCATTTTTAAGAGTTGAGATTACTAATCTGTTTACTAATCGGTAACTAATCTGTTTAAAATAATGGCTTCAAAGATAACTATTTGTTCACTGTAGTGAAACAAATAGCTAGGAATTCTAGGCTTTCAAAATTTATTTTGGCAATTTATCCATGTATAAAAAGCATACAAGAGCTTGGAAAACAAGCAGTAAAGTTAGCTATCATTCGTCATGGTTTTCTATGACAATACGACGATAATATGTTCTCTTTATCATATGAATTTATAGCGAGAACTACTAAATTTCGAATAAGAGAGTGGAAATAAGGATAAAAGTTGATATTATGAAACAAGGTTCATAAATACTTTCGCTGTTCAAAGAATGCGTGAGACCACTTCATAGGATTTTTTTCTTATCTCTTTCGACTATTAACGTAGACCATTACAGCTAACAGTGATGTCATCACTGTGATTGCCTAAAAATGTCAGTTTCGCTTAAACGATCAAAATCACTTAAAAGTCAATGAGCACAAGCATTTTAGTGTTTATTATCTTCCCGTCGCAGTTTAAGCATGGTCTTACTTCACGCAAGATATTCCAAACACCAATAATTCGATGAGTTAAAATTCGTTTGTATTCCTTTTTTAATTAAAATAATTTAATTATAAAAATACTTTTACTGATATTAGCGAAAATCAATAAGCACTATCAAGATGTATTTTACTTACGGAACACAAAAACTGATTGTACGATAACTAATAATCATAACTATTTGCTAAGATAAGCAATAGAGAAGCTTTTCATATTAAATTTAGTAACTTCTTATCTATCTGAAGCTTATCAGATATCTGAAAAGGAGGGTTTTATATACAAACGGCGCGAAAAAAATTACGCATAGCAGACTTGGCATTTAAGCACCGTGATGATGCACCAGATACAGTTAATAAACATTTATAAAGTGGGAACGTTAGATAGTTAAGCTAGTTATTAGATAATCAATATGAAACGAACAGCTGTATTACAAATTCAGGTCAAATGAATCATCTGCTCAATTTTTTTCTTTTCGATCTATTCGACCAACGTCGCAAATTACAAAAAAAGCACCGAACAGTATTATGTGAAAAAGATGTAGAAATGATAACATTATTTAATCTTTGGGAGGATACTCGCAGCCGATTTAAACGAACTTTGTTGACTAAGTTATCCAAAATACTTCATATCATCTTCGATACCGTCAAAAGACATTATAGAGAAAACAGAAATAAACAGGGAATATCGTTTCGGAAAAAATAAGACGGTGCCGATAATATGACAGTTCTACTGCCGCACACAGTGAAAATACACGATATATTACTAAAAACACTTCTAACGTGGTTTACGGTGGTTTTCTGTCATTTGTTCATGACCAGGTGTATTACATGTTTAAGTACATGAAATAGTTTGGTTTTACGTTATACGGTATGTGACATGGAAGGTGTCACAGAAGATGAGGTAAACGTCATATGATGGTTGATTGCGGAATAAAATCCTGATCACTTTGTCGTTAGTATTGAATTCAGCATCATACAATTCTCAGCCAAAAATAATCAGCAGGGCGTTCTGTGCATATGTTCAGGAGAGTTTTGAGTTGATGTAAAGAAAATGGAATGAGAAAGCAAGGTTGATGACAATGCTGGTGAGGTGTCGTACCACACTCAAGAACAGATAATTCATTGGGAATATTTGACCGCAACGAAAATAGGAAAGCAAATGAAAATCTAAAGACAAAAGGACAGCAAAGATTAAAATCTAGTCAGCTTGCTTAGTAAAAATAAATCTGAGAAACGGAGAAAGATGATAAAAGCGAGTCACAATGAAAAGATTACTTTAGTTGTAGAACAGAAGCAAATTAAGCATCATGAAAAGAATGGATCAACCAGATCTGTGCAATGTTTTTCGATAGTTAGTTATCTCTTTGAAAGCAGAGAGAATGCATATGGTTGCTACCTCGCTTTCAATTCACAAGGATAGGATAAGTCTTCAAACTCCATCCCTCGAACTTGATTAATGCGAAAAGAATAAATGCAGCGATTAGGAAAAGATAGCTGCTTTCAACAACAAATACGTTTCTCGATGTTATTGCTGCATACAGTGTGAAATTTGCTTCGAAAAACAAGGCAATTACATCATGGATCTGTTGAATTTTTCTATGGCACAGCTCAAATAAAAGCATCATACTTTCAAAATCAAATCAGCAGAAAATTCCTTTCCCTCAGCAGTGTCTATTCACTCAATAGAATTAAGAAAAGAATATGAAGAAAACAAAGAACAAAGAATAGCCCCTCCTTTCAACTTACGATATTTTTCTCGAAGTCTCAGTAGTTCTGTGCCCAAACTTGCAATTGAATTGTTGCTTCGCCTCATACACCTTCAGAAATATAGTTAAAAACACTACTAACAGATGCGAAATTTAAAAACAAAAACTTACAGACGAACCATTCTCGAAATTATACAGATCTACTCGATCAAACGAATATTCCATATGGTTTTCAGTGTACCACTGGTCGATTTCCTCTGATGCAACTAGCAGCTCGGTTCGTAAAGGATTCTTTTTTATCAGTGATACAACTTCCTACAAAATAACTTTTAGAGCGTCTGTAAGAAAACAATTAGTATATTGAACTCATTTTAACACAAAATCATGAGAAATCACAGTTTTCAGAAGGGAAATGCAAACACGGACTTTTGTCTTTAGAATTTTTTTTAAAGCAAATGGAAAATTATACAAATACTGAATTAAACTGAATATGTTTATTAAGTAAAAATTTTTGATCGTACAACCAGCTAGCAAACTATCTAAAAGCCAAAATAAATCTTTGTCAGCATGCATTAAATAGACATGAACCATGCAATTCGATTATTTAGCTATAATTTCTATAATTCGATTATTTAGAACTTCTATAATTTCTATAATACCTTGTGAGCAGTGCTCGGATAAATGAGCTGACCATTAACACCCACAATTCGTTGTCCCATCTGCAAACCAGCCCGTTCACCAATACCATTTTTATCAACAGCTCCAACAAAATGCCCTCGATTCTTTTCGGCATGCAAATTAAATCCGAACTCTTCCGTCGGATCACGTTTTCTCTGCACCAGAGTCAAATATAAACAATGTGTCACTTTTTTTTTATTACAAAACATTTAAGAAGTGGAAAAAATTGCAAATAAATGTTGAAATATTAAATATTATATAGCCACACCCAATTCTATCCTTAATTTACAATATTACTCAAGATAATAATCGCATCCATGTTTTTAATAAACAATAACTCATATGAGCTTTATCTCACTGCGGGAGTTCAACACCCATAACGAGCAGAACGAAGTATTCAAGCTATGAATGCTGATGATCAGAATTTTGGGTAAGATCAGCAAGAAGGGTATAAAAAAGAATTTTTAAAAGAAAGACTCCAGTAGACCAAAAAGTACATAAATTCTTGTACTGAAAGAAAACGCTCGATCCTCCCCACAAGATTTTATATTTGTGGTAATTTATGAGCCGAAAAATAAGAAAGTCCGATTTACGAACAATCTGCAACAAACATTTCTGAACTACGTCAATTTTATATTTATAAGAATACGAACCAATCGGCACAGTCGTGGTTTCGGAACATTCGTCATTGATGAAATGAATTTTGTGCAAGAAGAAATGTAATAACTCCGTTTATCCTCCTGGAAACGACAATATTTCGCATCCTATTTTTTATAAAAAGTTACTTGAATATCAGTGCCGTACATAATCCATATATTTCATTATCAGCTTCCAATAGCATTCTTCAACAGTACTCTTTCAGAAGAAAATTATTAACAACCAGCCAAAATCCTTATAATTCCCTAAAATCACTTCGACAAAAGTATTTTCCTGGAGAAGTCGACAGGAATAAAAAGTCAATAAGAGGAATCCTGCAACCTTCAAACATGTCAAGATCAATTGCCGGTTTCACAGTAAAGTTAACAATATAAAGGAGATTTCTACATTAAGCAAAAAGTTTTGAATAAAAATTGCAATTTCCTTTTTTTTCGCAAAATTACTTTCTTTATCAGCACGATTTAAAACAAGATGAAAAACGGAGACATAAGTATTAAAATATAATCGGAAACTGACAGTCCCTACCTTTTATTGAACTGTCAAAAATAGCTACTTTTCGAATTTCAAGTCCAAAAACACTACTAAGACTCCTGTCTCAGCATTACCTAAGACATCAATTGCAAAATGATGACTGCCAACTCCATCAAATTAGAATTCCAGATTTCGAGCTTTCTTTTCTTCCTAGAAATTCAAAATCTTGCACCATACTTACAATATGACCATTCATATGGAAAATCCAACACATTCAAATGGATGATAAAAAAAATGATACTAAATACTGAAGGACCATTCACGTCGAAGGGATTTAATTGCGCTTGCAAATAAACATTTTTACGAATATCCAAAAAACTGAAGTTTTCCAGAAGCTGTCAGTAAAAAAATCTATGAACGAGTTAGCCACAAAACTAAAATGATTCACACAGGACATGAGAACTAATCCAAGAATGAAGGTCTCAAAACTATACCGTGCTCGCCACCATATGCTGCATCCTTCACTATATTTAATTGCACTTGCAAATAAACATTCGAGTCAACTTCTCGAGATTTAGGAAGTACGTACCAGATTCTTTCCCACCTAAATCGCAGCGAACTACATTAGTAAGGAACATAGGTGAAAAAGTAAAGAAAAAAGCTAACAGAAATTTTAAAACGTCACGAAGGGATCAAATTAACCACTAACTGTCGAAACAAGTTTGTGTGAAACCAACCATGACAGTCGATTCAATTTCCCATGTCTTTGTACATCATAAATTTTAATTCAGCCAAACCATATTTTTGGGAACCATATTTTTATACCAACTTCAAGTCAGTTTATTTTTTGTTATTTTTGTTTTGTTAATCGCTTATGATTAAATTATTTAATTGAATAATACACACGGTTATCCATATTTTGTTTTCCATTGCTTATCTCCGGAAAGTTTTAACTAGTTACTGCATATGGAATGTTTGGGAGTAGGCAGATGATATGAAGAGTTTGTACACTTAATGAAGAAATCATCGGCACCAACTGATTTACCTGACTTCATTAATTTGGCCAATATCGTAACCAGAATTCCAACTATGTCCAAGCAAGCCAAGAACGAGAATAAAAGCTAAAATAAAAGCTGAATTCAAGCCCTAATTCGCAGCACTCCGACTAAATTAGTAGAATGGAGCCAAACGTGCCTATGGACAGGATCGATATACGCTTCTATTGATGTGCTCGTTTTCTCTTACCTGTTAAACTAAAGATAAAAGAAGGGCCAAAGCTCTAAACTGCACCAATAATTATTAGTGAAAATGGGAAGACTTCTGTGATGAAAATTTAACCACATTCTTGATCGATAAAACATCTGAAATAAAAAAATCGGCCACCCATTAGAACTGAACATTTTTAAACAGTAAAACTACACCTGCTCTACGAAAAAAGCGCTAAAAGTCTTAATGAAGTCTTAACTAGCAAATGCTGCAGCATGCTGCCACCATTTGAAAATACCCTTCGTTACAGCAAAAATTTATATGTCGCGATTACCATTTCATCTGCTGGCAGGAAATTTCTTGTTTACTAATGATCCAGCCGTATGTCACAAAACATGCTGATCAAACCAGTAAACAAGGGACCGAAGTATTTCGGTCATATATTTTCAATAGTTCGCATAATGTTAATGACACAATCCACAACTAATACGGTTAAAAAACTTATCCCGGAACTTGCAGCAGTGATCATGATAACAGGGAGAAACAATACTGCTGACATTTCCGATGTTTCTCAAGAAATAACAACCTCAAATTATTGCAATTTTTTTTTCTTGGCAATAATGTCTTTAAGTTGATAGATTAGTACTTAGAAAATATTAAACTTCATAATATCACTGTATCTTAGAAATGTTGCCGCATACCAACAGTTTAAATTTTTATTTATTTACAACTTTTCAGCATTGCTCCTCAGATGAGAACTGAAGAAAATATATTCTAAAACTCTGATAACCGCTCCTAAGTGCACGATTTCTCACTGAACACTTTTATATTTATAAATTGATTGGAAATGAGTGGATACCGGTGCAAAGTATAGATCCTACTTCGATAAATTAATGTGTCCTCAAGTATCATATGCCACGAAAAATCTCCAGAGAGATTATAGAATAACTTGTGGTATTACTCTTTAAATCTTCATCCGGAACTATAATTACGGAGGGAACATTTCCTATTTTCGTTCCTGCTCTGAGACATTGACGATACCATATTTTATCCCGGCTTCAAGATCCTTATTACAACTATTTTTATAAGCAGAACAAAGTGAAGAAAGATCAACATGGATTAAAAAATAAATTTGCACCATTCCGGTGCTACCAGACACCATTGTTATGGGATTAGTATAAATGTTAAAACTTTAATACACACAAGATACACTCAGCAAGCCAGGTCTAAGTACCTGAAGAATTAATCCAGAAAAGTAAATTACAAAATAATCCTAGTCCAAATTCTCAAGGATCAAAAATACGACTACATCTTTCGAAAAGATTCAGAACTCCAGAAGTCAATTTTTCAAAATCTTTCCGACCAAGCTAGTCAATTTTTAAACAAACGCCGATGTCATTCCAAATTGCATTAATTTTTGTCGGAATTTGTGTTGCTTTTTCCTAACTTTCTTAACAGTTCTTCCTTTGCTGAAGTCTTATCGAGAAAGAAAAGATTCTTTGAGAAAAAAAATCCAGCAGAAAATCTGGAAACAGATGGAAGTTGGCAGGATATAAAATGAATAAACAACGCAAGCGCAGAATAATATGGATTTTAAAGTTGAATACAAAGAGCGTTACCCTTTAAAATTCTCGGTCAAGATTTTAACGTCACTCTTCCGAAACCTGACCTGACGGAGAGAAGGGAAGAGAATAATCCAGTGAATCTATATCCGTCTCGTATTCACAATGACAGCCAGATTGCCAGCCACACATACACAAGGTGCATATACATTTGTATATGTGTATGTATAGATGGAGATAGAGAAAGAGGCAGACAGAGAAAGAGGTGAAGTGATAGATGTAAAGGAACCAATCTCAGGACATAATCGATAAAGCTGTAGAGAGTGTATGGAAAGAGACAACGTTGGAAAGCATGATTAATGGGCTACTCTCCCTGATCTTCAATGACAACAGTGACAAAGACTGCGGTATCGTCAATTCCACTAAAGTTTAATCATCGTTCAGAAGAGGCAAATGATTGTATTGTGGGACAGTTTCATGTATATATATATATGTATATATATATATATATCTACACATGTCTTAATTTTAATAACATTACTCGGCTTAAAAGACAGTGTAGAAATATATTTGGCGTAACTCGTGCAGGCATCACTTCTTTACAGTGATTACGTTGCTAAACACAGTTTGCTAATATGTGATGTGGAGTTCAATATCCTTTATTTTTGTTTTCCATCGAGGGTAACTGATATCCAGATAATTATCACTACGAAATGAGACCGTGCAAGCGTCCGCGGCCGATTTCACGCATTGTCATGAAGTGTAGACGCTTAATTTAAATGAGCAACCAGTTATAAACGAATGACCAGTTCATGAAAGCTCTCAAGAATGTTTAATTCAGGCCTGAGTACTGGGTAAGTGTGGCGTCCCTCTACTGATTCATGCAATCCCTAAGCAAAGAACCACTGTTTATTTTGTAAGCAGTAATCCAATCTCTAATCATTGCTTTTCTGCGATCGCCCAAGACCTAAGCGCTCTTTTCAGCTCGCTTCTCAACTATAGTTCAAATGGATAAAAAGTGCGCAACCATAGAAATAAGAATCAGCAATCAATATCTTTGACAGTAACCATTCGATGATACACCATTTACAGAGGGAAGGAATATGTGAATGGACAGCATGGATGAGCAGTAGATGGACTCATTATGTTAAGAACTCACTGAACGATTCAACACAAACACGTTCATCACTTCAAAACTGTGATTTGTCGTTGTGGAATTAGGCCGGAAGCGAAGCAGTAGTGGAGCGGAAAGGAAAGAACACACGAAAGGAACCATTCATTCTCCTTACAAACAGTTTTCCTTGAGTTGTGATCAGTGAAAAGATGACAAGATTTATTTGATGACGATGCATGTTACAGCTGATAAGCTCGTAAAATGCGGGACATTTTTGTTCGGAAGTGATAGCATTCTTGCGATGAATGACTGATATAGCACCATTATTTGATCAAGACGGATGCACAAACTGCCGACAAAATTTGGATAGGAAATCAGAGGACTACCTTTGGGAAGTACCGACAAATTGCTGCTGAAGTTGTTAGCGACTTGTTACTGAGATAGTGCTGCTGCTCCTTACTAGGAAGATGAAACGACAAGCTATCGTGATTGCGCTGAAACAATCACTAGTTTCTCTAATGGTAACTAAAAAGTAACAAATAAGAGATGCTTAAGGAACAATGGAGAAGAAAAGGTTTAGAAAATTAGATACAATCAGTCCTCATCCTCCTTTTCTTACAGACATTTCCTTCTACGGACCAGCTAACTCAAATCTTCAATTAAATTACTTAACCAGCGTAACTCAAATATTCAATTAAACTACTTATTCTTGAGCTAGATATTAGCACTATAGCTACTTGTTATCATTATATAACTGCTGGAAAATAAGAAAAGCTGGGGTATGTTGTAGATGAAATGACAGTTCCTCGCAGCATTTCAAACGAAATGCTTACTATCACCAACCCAAACTGTTAGACTGGCTGAATAAGCTGAAATAAGTGAAGTGGTAAGTGCAGCATATCTCAGATTTATCTAGTAACTATACGTTGATGAAAAGGTCAACTGTCGGAATCCACAGATTCACTCCTTGTAATTTGAATTTCATTTTTGGAAATAATGACCGAGTGAAATAACATAAACAAGGTTTAGTCATGTGTTTCGACTTTACTGATGGTTAATTTCACTCTAATATTTGATTAGAATCAGCGCACAACCTGAACCAAAGTATTTTCATGCGTAAGCGAAAAATTCAACATTAAGTCGACATCACCAGTAATATGGGGGCTGATCCTGACCTTACTAGACAGTCAATAAATTGGCAGGCGAAGAGTGAGGAGTGAATGTTTGCTATTTCATTTGACCTTTCTGTGCGATAATGCTCTGCATCCAGTTTTTCTTTTTTTTAAAAACCGGAAAGAGTGAAAAATAAGCGTTTTATAGTTAGATAATAATGTGTGAGGAGAGGTCACTAAAAGAAAATGAGGTAGACAATGGCCAAATTTAAAAAATTATGACAAAGTGCCAGGAGCGGGCAGTATATTCAGCAACACTGAGCACATGATGAAATGAACGAATGATTGATTGGATGAGTGGTATGAATGAATGAATGAATGATTGATTGGATTAGTGGAATGAATGAAAGAATGAATGAAATGAATGCAAGAGCAAGCATTAAACACATAAGGATACAAAAAACAGACTGTATTTGGATGTGGAACTCGACTACAGTGGTGGTGTGTTTCTATGACCCTGTGAATTCTCCCTATCTAACAGCATTTCAGTGCATTAACACCACACTGCTACAGATCTAAGCGTAAAGTGTAGAGTAACCTCAAGCAAATAGCCTGATTTATATTCATGAGCACGAACTTATTCTGTTACGAAAATATGGTTTGCAGCATGGAACATAATAATAATACATTCATTAATTTGATGCTGTAAGTGTAAGTAATCCAAGTGCAAATTCCCATCACGAACCAGTTAAAAATACTAAAGTGAAAAACCTTTTTTTTGTGAGAAGACCATACATTAAGTAAGGAAAGCGTTACGGGGACATTATGTTTCTTATACCATTCCAGATTTTCTTTCAATATCACAAGAAGTTTACACTGCAAGGGATTCTCCTTGATTCTTTGAATAACCTACAAATAAATTTCCAGCTTTGTTCAAGTACATGCATATGTTTCGGCCGACGCAAACGATTGGTGTGAAATATTTTTATACGACTGAACGAAATATTTTTATCCATCTGATCCTTGAAGTTTGCGATTTCTTTTAATGGACTACGAGTGATTTTAATCTTGCTGTCCAGATCTCCTACTACTTTAATTTCAGCAGTTTACCTATTCGCTTCATTATTTACCTTAAAGACGTACTTTCAATAATTAACTACATACCAATTATGCATGGTTTATCAACAATCAGTTAACATGCACTGGCTCATTTATTCTTAGGAACTATTACTGGATTATCATTGTGTATTACAACATGTTGTGAGGGAGGAATTGGAAATGTCTTCTGTCCAGCGCTTTCACACTTCCTACTGATTAAAAAGTAGAACATTGAAATAACAAGAGATTTGAGAATTACTCGCAAATCATAAGTTATTTTCTTTAAAAAATAGAGGAAATGATAGGTTAAGCAATTTAATTGCTACAAACTTTTCTGTTGGTAGCATAAATGCTTTATTACCTAAAGGGAAGAGTTAAAAAAACTGGAAATTCCTGTAGAGCTGGACAATGACCTCAGAAGGAAGGAAGGTTGACAATTTGAAATAAGGTCACAGTGCTGGACGCATTACTGCATAACTCCACCTCCGCACTCAGATAATTGCCTCTGTTTTCTTATTCTCAAACTTCTTACCACTTCTTTCTTTCTCCCCACGTCGACCCTTTTTTACAGCCATCCCACTAAGGCACATTTCTATAAATGGGAAAAGATGTCAACCATTTGATGCAAATCTTATTTGAAAGAGTTAGAGGAATGCAAACCAATTTCTATGAAAGTTGCTCTTTTCGAGGTGAGGACAAGGGATTTGAAAAGAGATACCTGGAAAACTGAAAGGTAATAAAAGAAACAGAGAAATATTGGGTTTCCATAGAAATAATCTAGCAAGATTAACAACTATCCTTATCAGATCAAAAACAAAAATTTCTGACGTTCATAGTGAGATCTCCCTGTCAGAATCCCCAACTTCAGAAAGGATTAACTTTAGACCAGTTTTATCCTGGATGACCAGCAAATCTCTACTTTTCTTGGCCTTAAAAACTGTCTAAACAATAACCTAGAGATAGGAAGAGACATACTACGAACTAGCAATATTGGCATCTAAACGTAGTGTTAAGACAGCAAAAATTAAAGTTGAAATAATCTCTCAAAGCAGCAGCGTCACTAACCGACAATAGCTAAAATCAGTAGTATCAAGCAAATCCTTATTCTCCACTCCGGAAAAACAATCACCACTGAGTCAAAAACGACACAAATGATAAATAAGGCTTCAGGAGCGCAAAGTAGACAAAAATCAGTGAGGGATACCTGACAAATCTGTCAGAAATTTCTTGAATGAAAGTAGTGAGTGCAACCTCCCATGCCGAACACAACATAAAAGGAAGTTATTAAGACATATTTCCTCGTAGTCGCAACAAATAATCCCGGTGGCTGATCCCAGATAATTATTTGCTCGAGAGAAAAAAAATGCTCCAGTAATATTTTGCAGATTAAAGAGAGGCAGGATAAAACCACCGTAATTTTCATTCCATTTCCAGTCAGTTTGAAAAATCCAACGACCACGGTTTTCCAAAAATATTACCATTTAGGATTAATCCCATTTCAAAAAATGTAAACGTATTCAATCAACTTCGAAAAATATTTCCACATAAAGAATGAGATGTAGCGATATGTTTTCCTTACGAAAACCTAATATAAATCTACAACTAATAAATTTAAGACAAAAACGACGACAAAGGACATTCTATGCCCCTGCTTCTTTATGCCAGTATAGAAGCTCAGGAAATAAAATTGAGTATTGTTACCGAAATGGAGAAACAGGCACAATCATTCGGTGACAAAAATAACTATTATTAATCGGCAAAGACAATGAAACAAGCACAAGACAAAAAGCAGTAGAGAGGTGAGGTTTGGACATCAAACAACTTTAAGCTTTTTTTCCGCTAGAGAATGCATTATTGAACATCAGTAATAACTGCCTTCTACAACAAAAAAAAGTGTACAACACTTTTCAAATGAAAACACCATCCCTGTCAGATTACGCAATGTGCTCTAAACCACTAGATCAACCTACTTCACCAACTACTACCATAACTGCCACCTACCATCTCTCACTCCTGTTTTAGTATGTTGCTGCACCTATATTTCTCTTAGCAGTGGTAGTATCGTTATAAAATTCTTATGTCCTATGCTTAGTGTTCCCTCAGAAATATTTAAGATACCAAATCCAAAATCCCTTACTGAAAAATTCAGCGAACATAGTATACATCGTGCTGCAAGAACAAGGGTGGTCATCGACTTTATGAAATAGCCAATAAATCAAGAAGAATTAATCACAGCAACAACAGCTTGATATCTACAAGGTCTCTGGTTGGTACAACATTTTGGTATGAAGTGATAGCTAGGCAATCAAATTTGTTTTTCTTTGTGATTAATGAAATTTGTGAGGAAAAAGATAGCCAGCAAAAGATAGCCAATTCATAGGACTTACGAAAAATGGTAGAAAAACTCCCTAATTAAAACATAAATCACCAATAAACTTTATCAATGAGTTAAGGTCTTGCTAACATTTGTTCACCCAATACAGCAAAAAACATTGTATTGTGTATTTCCGACTGAGTTCAAAAAACGATTCTGTAAACACCGATTCAACAACATAAAAATGCCAGTACTTCCATGAAATACCCTGACATACAAGTCAACAAATCTTTGCCAAAACAAAATATCGGAATTATAATTCATCTATCGCAGAAATCTGATCAAATCGCCTGCGACTTCTTTCACTTTCGAATTTTGAATCTGATAGATCCTTTCGCAATTTCTCAAAATTTCTCGTTGCAATATTGATGTCGAAGTAGTCTAAAGTGTCACTGCTCTGCCTATTTTTGGCCCTTTTCTCATTAATCGTATTAGGTGCTGTAAAAACATATGTTGGCATATCGTAAAAAATATCAAGAAAATTCTGGGAAAAACAAATAAAGAACAAAAACCATTCCCCATGAACAGCTCTAAATCTCGGATCTTTTTGTATTTTGCGGCTTTTAGCAGACTCCGTTTCGTTTGCTAAAAGCCAGATCTGTTCAACTGCGTGCTAACATCGCATCCATGCAATTTAAAAATCAGAAACAATCCCATTTAATCAGTGATTACTGAAATCTGCATTTTGCTTTACATTTCACTTTATACATAAAGATCAACAGGAGATAGAGAAGTATCCGAATGAAATGAGATAAAACAAAACAGTTAATAGATTAAAGCGGGAAATGTGAAAATTCAGAAAGTGAACTGTGATCAAAATAAAATTCAATGAACAAAGCTGTGAGTGCACACACAGCAGCGAATACAAATAGACTGAATGATCGTTGCCAAATAACCACTGAAACTAACAAACAAAGGCCTGCAATCGAAAACGAATGAAGTAACCTGTCTGGTCGTACCCACAGTTTCTCAGGTGGAGCTGAAAAGCATTAGCACAATAAATACATTATAATGAAATGTACCACTCAATAGCACTGTTAACAAAATCTGACTTGTTTCACCATCATCAGTGACAGTGAATTCCCAACTATTCGGTGGTAGTTTATTGTCATAACAGCTTTAAAATGCTAATGTGAAAACAGTTTTTGCATGTAGAGTATTATAAAAAAGATCAGATACATAAAAACAAAGCAAAGAGTACCATAAAAAATTATGAATAGAATGTTATCGTTCCCAAACAGCCTAATCTGCCGTAAAGTTTTATGTCATGAAAAATATAATAGTCATACTACCGATTTCGAAAAGGGTATACACTTGAGAGTGTATTATGAACAAAACAGTGATACGATGTGCAAATTTATTCAATTTTTCTCAGTACTGTAACCTTTATGGTTTGACTGTAGCTGTTCAAGCAAAATGAAACAGAGCCATGAGCAGTGTATTTTCGCCTCTAGAGTAAAACAAGGCTTACAAGTGAAACGTCACAATGTATATGAATTTAAATTTCATGAGTTATATCTTTAAATTTGAAATTTAAATTTCATGAGTTTATACGATGCACAGAGGTCAACAGTACCTCACATCCATAAACTTAGCCTTTAAACAGCATCTATTTCGACAAAGCACAATGTAAATAAACATGGAAGACACTTCTACAATATTTTTAAGCGAGGAAATAGAAAAGCATTCTCTACCAGAAGGAATAAAAATTGGAACATACCTTCAATATCAACTTCGCAAACACCGTTAGAGCCTTTGACAAAGCCTTTTTCACATATACATTCGTATGAACCTTCTGTATTGTTGCACTTAACATGCTCACCAGTACACCGATCTTCATCAAAACATTCGTTGACGTCTGCAGAACCACAATCAGAATAAATGAAACTGCTTAATTCGAAAATAAACTATTTAATCGACAGCAAAAATATAGCCTACTCTATTTTACAAAAATTTACAAGAACGTGAGCTCCGCAATACGGGCAATTTGAAAATTTCCGGACCTTCACATTCGTTACTATCGTTCATGATCCAGCCAACGTGACACTCTTTACAATCTCGTGGCCCACTACCAGAACAACCGCCTTTACACGATTTGTGACACTCTAAAAACATCAGAGGTACTAGAGGCAATAAAAGTTGTAAAAGATGTAGTTGAAAGAATGCAAGCTCCATTTCAGACAAAATTTCCATATTTTTCTAATTTCTGAGCATTAAAAAATTAGTGTCAGCGTAAAAGAGCGGGTAGAGTAGGAAAAATATCTGTCATTAACTGCTGTATCCTACGCAATTAGCAAGTGGACAAGGACATAAAAATCAGTAGGTTATATATCTAAGTACCTCAAAATATTCCTATAAGCTATACCACTTGTTTTAGTGTTCGGTGCACTGCACATAATTAAATTTACCACTGCAAACGAAAGTAGAACTATTCCGCATGGCATAATAATTTGCATCACAGTTGCTGCACATAAAACCGACATAACCCATATCACATTTGCACTTACCACTCCCTTCCCGAGAACCATCACCCTAAAACTTTTTATGGTCATGAAAGTATTAATTAAACTTTATCGATTTCATCAAAAACACTTTTTTTTTTAAGCACAGAATAGTTTTTTCACGGAAACTTTGTCCAAAACCGGCAGTGGATAATCAAAGAAAACCTGACAGGATCCATGACCAGAGCAAGCTGGTAGGCCTTTGTCAATACCAGGACAAGGTTTACAATCTGTGCCAAAATGCCCTTTATCGCAACATAATCGCAACTTTTCGTGACAAAGCCACTTCAGGAAATCAGGGTTGGAAAATTGTTTGTGAAAGTACCAGTTTTCAATGCTTTCTTCATGTTCTTCAACTAACTGCTGACACTGCAATATCATTACAATTAATTTTGTTCTTTAGAAACATACACTATTTCAAATAAATGGGTACT